TCCCCCTATTACGACTAAGTGTTTTGTACATAGTTGCAGCCATACCTTCTTTCGCACAACCCAATCCCCATTACCCCTCATGCCCATGATACGAAAACAAATCCGCCATGATGTACACACCAAAGCACGCCTGCACAGACTCTTCCACACCTCCCACATCTAAACTCAGTGCCCTTAATACCGATATCCCCCCCACTCCCACCCTCTTCAAAATCCCACCCATCCACTCCCGTATACACTCCAAATTTTTACAAAAATATACTACATGAAAAGCTGTCTCCCTATCCCCACACACCCTACATACGTCCTCCACCATCAACCCTCTCTCCCTAAGCACCACACCAGACGGCAGTATTTCATGAAGGAAACGAAACATTTCCTCTCTCACTCTTGGTCTGATGCGTACCAACCGCAACCTTACCCAAATGTCTCCCCATGCATACATTGGGTATATGCCCTCAACATTCGCAATCACCCTCACCCCTACAGCACGCTCCAGAACACCCACCCGTATCCTAGACGGATCTCTAACATACAATAAAGCTCTCAGCACATCCTCACACTCTTTCATCTCTGATCCTACCCACCACCTTCGTGCCTCCTCATATAATGCTGCACACCCTTCCCCACACGACCTACCACTCGGAGAAACCCCCCTCTTCAAATATATGCACTTAACCCTTAATCTTATATCTATTAAACCCAATCCACCTTTGTCGACGGTAGCATAACAACACTCCTACCCAATCAGTCCACACCCAGAACCCCATATATAACGAAAAAACCTTTTTAGCATTCTTGTTATGTCCGGTCCTGCCAACGGATATACTGCTGCCACATGCCAGACCATACTATATAACATTACATTCACCACATTACACGTTGATGTATCGTCAAATGCATGGTCTCAAAACATTTAACCTACCCACCAACCTATCCACTGCCCTCCCAAATTAACCATCCGTGCCTCCCGGCATTCCCCATATAAATTATCCACACACCTTAGTCTATCCACCACACACCAACGCACAGCTCTTTCCCATCTCGCCCTCCCTACCCAATTCCCTAAGACCAATAATTTCGATTTCTCCACATTCACATCTTAAACTGTAACTCCTTCAAACCACCAATCAACATCCTCCACCTCTTGTAAACTTCCTCCCTGCTCATTAGAATTGTTGTATCATCCACATACCCTATTATTCCCATCCCTCCATTCTCCACACCACGATCCACCCCTAAACATTTCCCCACTGCCCTGTAAAAAGGGTCCTGCATACAAGCAAACAACAGTTGAGACAGAGGACAACCTGCCTTAATGCTCTACCCATTGAAACCCACTCTCCCAATTTCCCATTCACCTGCACACGTACACCTACCCTATTATACAAAGTCTCAATCCAATGCACCATCTCTTCCCCAAAACCCTGCCTCCGTAAGATATGCCACAGTGCCTCTCGTTCTACGCAATCATACGCTGCCTGCCAATCCAATGCTAAGACACCTCCCCACCCCTTTATTCTCCCCCTGTTCCACAAGGCACAGTACTCGCTCTCATCTTGTTCCTCATCCTCATATCTGACATAGACAAGGATGTCAGCCACAGCACCGTGTCTTCCTTTGCAGATGACACCCGAATCTGCATGACAGTGTCTTCCATTGCAGACACTGCAAGGCTCCAGGCAGACATCAACCAAATCTTTCAGTGGGCTGCAGAAAACAATATGAAGTTCAACGATGAGAAATTTAAATTACTCAGATATGGTAAACACGAGGAAATTAAATCTTTATCAGAGTACAAAACAAATTCTGGCCACAAAATAGAGCGAAACACCAACGTCAAAGACCTGGGAGTGATCATGTCGGAGATCTCACCTTCAAGGACCATAACATTGTATCAATCGCATCTGCTAGAAAAATGACAGATGGATAATGAGAACCTTCAAAACTAGGGAGGCCAAACCCATGATGACACTCTTCAGTCACTTGTTTTATCTAGCTGGAATATTGCTGCACACTAACAGCACCTTTCAAGGCAGGTGAAATTGCTGACCTAGAAAATGTACAGAGAACCTTCACGGCGCGCATAAAGAAGATAAAACACCTCAATTACTGGGAGCGCTTGAGGTTCCTGAACCTGTAATTCCCTGGAATGCAGGCGGGAGAGATACATGATTATATACACCTGGAAAATCCTAGAGGGACTAGTACCGAACTTGCACACGAAAATCACTCACTACGAAAGCAAAAGACTTGGCAGACGATGCAACATCCCCCCAGTGAAAAGCAGGGGTGTCACTAGCACGTTAAGAGACCATACAATAAGTGTCAGGGGCCCGAGACTGTTCAACTGCCTCCCAGCATACATAAGGGGGATTACCAACAGACCCCTGGCAGTCTTCAAGCTGGCACTGGACAAGCACCTAAAGTCGGTTCCTGATCAGCCGGGCTGTGGCTCGTACGTTGGTTTGCGTGCAGCCAGCAGTAACAGCCTGGTTGATCAGGCTCTGATCCACCAGGAGGCCTTGTCACAGACCGGGCCGCGGGGGCATTGACCCCCGGAACTCTCTCCAGGTAAACTCCAGGTAAACTCCATGCCCCTCATACATTGTCCTCCCAGGCACCCCATACTGACCTCTCGCAACAACTCTATCTATCATGCACTTCAGCCTGTTCCCCAAGATTTTTGCGAATATCTTATAATCAGCACATAACAACGACAATGCCCTGTAGTTCTGCACTGTAGTAGGGCCTTCCCCTTTTGGAATCAAAACTACTACTGCAGTACGCTGCAACTCACCCATCCTCCCCTCACTTTTCATCACATTCATCAGGTTCACTAAAAAATCCTTCAACACACTCCAATGCTTCACATAGAATTCACAAGGTAACCCATCTATACCTGGCGCTTTACCTCTCGCCACATTCTCCAAAGCTCTCCATACCTCCCCCTCTTCAATATCCCCTCCCAATGCCATACGATCACTTCCACTCAGCACACAAGATACATTCTCTCCCAATCTCTCTAAATCCTCACCGTTCACTCCTACACTCCGCAAATATTTTCCAAACCAACTATCCAGAAAACCATTCATACCCTCAGTAGTTCGCAACTCCTGACCCTTCGTATACCCACCTAAGTTCTCGTGTACTACCAGCTTATCAATCTCCATTGCCAACCTGCGTCTCTGCTGGCCCCGTAACACACAGGCTGACGCCTGTCCACCCCCAAATCGGCCTCCTCTAACCCACCTTGCACCCTCGCCTCATCAAATCTCTCATTTTGCATATCTCTTATCTGCCACTTTAACGCTTCAATTTCCTCCATTGGATACACACCTACCACAGCATCCCTCTCATAACAACCCTGCAACCGCCCCTCTATATACTGTTAAGCCCATATGTCCATCCATGCCTCATTCTTTCCCCTTCGCACATAATATTGCCTGATCCTCCTCTTCGCAACCCCATCCCACCACCCCAATAAATCGCTTGCACTCTTACCCCCACCCCATAAGTCCTCCCACAAACTTTCAAAATCCCCTCCCTCCACCCCCTCACCCAGTAGTCGTACATTCAGCTTCCAGTACCCCAAATATCTCTTAGGCAAACCGTCCCAATTTAAATCAGCATAAACCGCCCTATGATCTGAATAAACGACATTCACCGTCTGCACCCGCGTCACCCTCACACCCCTTGTCACATACAACCTATCTAGTCGTGCAGCATAGCCCTTTCTATGAAATGTGTGCTCTATCTCGCTATCCCCTCCATCAACTATATCCCTCAATCCCACACCTCTCAATAGATCCCCTAAACCTGCCAAAAAACACCCTGCCCCCCTCGGTTCCACATCCTTCCTACGCACCACACAGTTCCAGTCGCCACCAACTATTGTCACTGACGGTAATGACCGCAAATAATATACCAATACATTATTCACAAATTCATTCTTTACCCTTACATCATTCTCAGCCGGCACATACACACAAACTACTGCCATCCTCTCACCTCTCCACCACCCATCTATTCTTAACACACGACCCCCCCCCCTTCACTCCTAAGAACAACAAACGGGCTCGTCTCTCGGATCAGGATTCCCACCCCTCCCTTTGAAACTTGTCATGATTGTGACCAGCTCTACCTGGAGCTCATTACCTTTGTAAATTCTCATGATTAATGTGTTTATGATTCATTACCTTTGCAATTATTCATGAGTGTGACCAGCTCTACCTGGAGCTCATTACCTTTGTAACTTGATCATGATTATGACCAGATCTAGTTCATTACCTTTGTAACTTGCTCAGCTATCAAAACTTTGGAGTCCAGTCCCTGGACCAATTATGTACCTCTGTAATCTTTTGACTACCGCCCACAGGATGGGTATGGGGTGCATAATAAACATATTAAACTAAAAACTAACTCCCTTCATTCGCTCCAAATACATCACAAACACTCTGTACCCATCCACCTCCAATTCCCTTCCCAGCTTGAAATTATGTTCCTGCACAAAAACAATGTCTATAGCATAACGTCTTAAAAATCCCTCTACCCACAGACGCTTCTCACTCACACACAATCCATTAATATTCATTGTCATGCACCGGAAACCTACTTATGTGATTTCACCCTCTGCCCCATTTCACCTTTCACTGACACGCTTCCAGTGTGTCTGCTTCTTCCACTTTTCTCTCCACTGCCCACTTGTGGCTTACCCTGATCCAACACCGGACCAGGCGTACCTTTAGAGCTCCCACGCACCACAATCAACCCATGGCTTTTTTCCCCGGTCTCTGTGCCGGGGTCAAAACATCATCCGAGTCGGAATATGTCGCCGCCCTCTTACGGTTGACACTCTCTGCATCCATTTCCAACTCACTAGATGCCTCCCTGTGAATCTCAGCATTCACCTCAATCACTTCCACCACTCCTGGCGAGTCATCTGCCATGTTCGCCAATCTTCCAAGTTGCTCATCTTCAATCTGAACAGGACTCCTCACCATCCTCACGTTATCCTCAGAAACCTTCTTCTCAAAGGATTTTTCCTTCACGTTCACCAGTAGGCCTCCCTCTACCCGCACTTCACCACTCTGCACAGTTTTCCCGGTCTCCAAGGCAGATGCCTCACATCCCACTAACTGTGACAGTGATGGGCTGGTACCCATCAGTGGCAGCTCATGCTCCACTTCCTCACTCCAGGAAGTGCCACTTCTATGTACAGGTGAGTCATCAGCATGACCCACCTCCGGTTCTGGCTCTTTCACCATCTCACTACCTAGTTCCTGTCTCCGCTACCATCTCCCACACTGGGCCGCCATATGGTCATATGCACCACATAACCTACACGTCTTCTGCTGCCCAGTGTAGTACACCATTACCTGCATCCTAAATGCGTCCAGTATGACGTAAGAGGGGATGGAATGCCTCAACGTCATCTTGAGCGTGAACATACCATCCGGCAAGCCAGCATACGCCCCATCCGTCCATTTACCAGCCGTAGCCAGGTGTACAGTTCCATACTGTTCAAATACATTCCGCAGGTCAGTCTCGTCCGCCTCAAATGGCACATTTCGGACTTTCACCCATGTGTAATGCCTAGACACGTCGATGAGTCGAACACGTATCGCTGAATTAACGTCCACACTCCCGTCCTGGTACTTGTCAACCAGCCGTTCATACACTCCAGCTGATCTCAACTTGACGAAAATACGATAGGCACCATTTAGCGCCACACCATACAGTTCTTGATCCGCAACGCCATAGATGTCATGGATAATTTGCGGTAAAAGCACTTGTGCAGACTGAGGCGTTATTGCACCATGCACCAATTCAAGGCACACTGTGTGCACACGCCTTCTCACAGACTGCGCCATGTTGTGAAAATATAAGTCTCCTCCAATGGCCAGCAGAGGGCAGTAGTCACACGTCCACACTCTGCTCAGGCCAAGCGGCGAATGCACTGGGAGGAATAGGGGTGTGCAAAGCAACGCATGTTGCTTTACCTGCTTTTCTGTCTTCGCGTTTGGCTTCCAGTGCATTAGTCAAGAAGATTGTCCCCGAACACTTGAGAGACGTGGTAGGAGCTCAAGACCCCAGGTTTACTGAAGCAGTGATTTGGTAGGACACCCTTGCAGACTCCTCCAGTAGACCAGCTCCTCCCAGAGAACACAAACAGTCCCATTGGGACAAACCGATCATGGAAAAAATCGCCAACACAATACTCACCAACGCTTCAGGAAAGGACAAAGCTCGTCTCCTGGCAGTGAAGGAACCACACTAAGGAGATTTCCTTTTAGCTGTTCCCAATTCCTCCCTGGGCACTCGAATCGACCCACGGGTCATTCGGATTGGTGTTGCTCTTCGCCTAGCCGCCCCCATCCTCACCGAACATAGGTGTATTTGCGGCAGGGCGACGGCTGATCAATTCGGACTTCATGGTCTCGTGTGTCACACAGCAGAAGGGAAATATGCCAGACATGAGGAGGTCAATGACATCATAAAGAGAAGCCTCGCCACAGCCCATTGCCCAGCTCAACGGGAACCCCAAGTGCAGAGGTCTGACAGAAGTCAAAAGCGTCCTGATGGAGCCACTATGCTACCCTTGAAGGATGGAAAGCAGATTGCCAGGGACTACACCTGCATCGCCACATTGGCAGACACCTACTTGCCATACTCCAAAGCTGAAGGGGGTGGAGCTGCCAGCCACAGAGAGACCCAGAAGATCCGCAAACATGAAGACCTTCCCCCTTGTTATAACTTCATCACAATAGGGTCGGAGACCCTTGGAGCATGGGGCAAGTGTGCTCTAAAGTTCTTCAAAGAGCTGGGTGAAAAGCTCCTCATAGAAACCAAGGACCACAGGGCGACCAGCTTCCTCTTTCAGAGACTCAGTGTTGCAATCCAGAGAGGAAATGCCTGCAGCATTCTGGGCACGCGACCCTCCGCCGGGGAGCTGGATGAAGGATTCGAGATGTAGCTCTTAGTTGTTATCTATGTTGTTTTACTTTCTATTGTAATTTTGTGAATGTTTTGTCAATGTATTTTGTCTTTAAATAAAATATGCATCATTACAGGGGGTGGTAGGAGAAAATTCTCAAACAGCTTCCGGGAGAACCTTGAGTTTTCCCTGAAGCAAGTTTATTCTTTTCTCTGAGGATGAGGGTCCTCAGCACAGTTCTAGAGGTGGTACCTCCCTATATATATATACACATATATAAACATAGGGAGGTACCACCTCTAGAACTGTCCTGGGGACCCTCATGTGTGTGTGTGTGTGTGTGTGTGTTCTCACCTAATTGTACTCACCTAATTGTGGTTGCAGGGGTCGATACTCAGCTCCTGGCCCCGCCTCTTCACCGATCGCTACTAGGTCCTCTCCCTCACTGCTTCCTGAGCTTTGTCACACCTCTTCTTAAAACTATGTATGGTTCCTGCCTCCACTACTTCACTTGCTTGGCTATTCCACTTCCTGACGACTCTATGACTGAAGAAATACTTCCAAACTTTCCTGTGACTCGTCTGAGTCTTCAGCTTCCAATTGTGACCCCTTGTTTCTGTGTCCCCTCTCTGGAACATCCTGTCTCTCTCCACCTTGTCTATTCCCCACAGTATCTTGCTTGTAGTTATCATGTCTCCCCTGACCCTTCTGTCCTCCAGTGTCGTCAGTCCGATTTCCCTCAACCTTTCCTCGTACGACATTCCCCTGAGCTCTGGAACTAGCCTTGTTGCAAACCTTTGTACTTTCTAACTTCTTGACGTTCTTGACCAGGTGTAGGTTCCAGACTGGTGCTGCATACTCCAGTATGGGCCTAACATACACAGTGTACAGTGTCTTGAACGATTCCTTATTAAGGTATCGGAATGCTATTCTCAGGTTTGCCAGGCGCCCGTATGCTGCAGCAGTTATTTGATTGATGTGTGCCTCCGGTGACGTGCTCGGTGTTATGGTCACTCCAAGATCTTTCTCCCTGAGTGAGATCTGTAGTCTTTGTCCACCTAGCCTATACTCTGTCTGCGATCATCTTTGCCCCTCCCCAATCTTCATGATTTTGCATTTGGCAGGGTTGAATTCGAGAAGCCAGTTTCTGGACCACGTGTCCAGCCCGTCCAGGTCTCTTTGCAGTTCTGCCTCATCCTCATCCAATTTAGTTCTTCTCATCAACTTCACATCATCTGCGAATAGGGACACTTCAGAGTCTATTCCTTCCATCATGTCGTTCGCATATATCAAAAATAGCACTGGTCCTAGAACTGACCCCTGTGGGACCCCGCTCGTCACAGGCGCCCACTGTGATACCTCTTCACGTACCATGACTCGTTGTTGCCTCCCTGTCAGGTATTCCCTGATCCATTGCAGTGCCCTCCCTGTTATATGCGCCTGATCCTCCAGCTTCTGCGCTAATCTCTTGTTAGGAACTGTGTCAAAGGCCTTCCTGCAGTCCAGGAAAATGCAATCAACCCACCCCTCTCTCTTGTGTCTTACTTCTGTTACCTTGTCATAAAACTCCAGAAGGTTTGTGACACAGGATTTGCCTTCCATGAATCCATGCTGGTTTTCATTTATAATCTCGTTCCGTTCCAGGTGTTCACCACTCTCCTGATAATCTTCTCCATGACTTTGCAAGGGGCTCTGGTGGCCTGGTGGTTAACGCTCTCGCTTCACACGGCGAGGGCCTGGGTTCGATTCCCAGCCAGAGTAGAAACATTGGACGTGTTTCTTTCAACCTGTTGTCTATGTTCCCCATCAGTAAAATGGGTACCTGGGTGTTAGTCGACTGGTGTGGGTGTAGGCGACTGGTGTGGGTCGCATCCTGGGACACTGACCTAAGGAGGCCTGGTCACAGACCGGGCCGCGGGGGCGTTGACCCCCGGAACTCTCTCCAGGTACTGTACATGTCAGAGACACAGGTCTGTAGTTTAGTGCCTCGTTTCTGTCTCCTTTCTTAAATATGGGGACTACATTTGCCGTCTTCCATATCTCAGGTAGTTGCCCAGTTTCAAGGGATGTGTTGAAGATTGTGGTTAGTGGCCCGCACAGCATCTCTGCTCCTTCTCTAAGGACCCACGGGGAGATGTCCGGTCCCATCGCCTTTGAGGTATCAAGGTCACTTAGCAGCTTCTGCACCTCCTCCTCGGTTGTTCGTATGTCATCCAACACTTGTTGGTATATTCCCTCTTGATGTTCCCTTCTGTGCTGTCTTCCCAGAGCCCTTCCTGTCTCTACTGTAAAAACCTCCTTAAATCTCCTGTTTAGCTCCTCACATACCCCTTGATCATTTCTTGTGAGTTCTCCACCTTCTGTCTTCAGTCTGATCACCTGGCCTTTGACTGTTGTCTTCCTCCTGATGTGGCTATACAACAGTTTCGGGTCAGTCTTGACTTTCGATGCTATGTTATTTTCATACTGTCGCTGGGCTTTCCTCCTTACCTGTGCATACTCGTTCCTGGCTCTGCGGCTAATCTCCATATTTTCATGTGTTCTCTGCCTTCTGTACTTTTTCCATTCTCTATTGCACTTAGTTTGTGTGTGTGTGTGTGTGTGTGTGTGTGTGTGTGTGTGTGTGTGTGTGTGTGTGTGTGTGCTCACCTATTTGTACTCACCTATTTGTGGTTGCAGGGGTCGAGTCTTAGCTCCTCTGTGTGTACTCACCTATTTGTACTCACCTATTTGTGGTTGCAGGGGTCGAGTCACAGCTCCTGGCCCCGCCTCTTCGCTGATTGCTACTAGGTCCTCTCTCTCCCTGCCCCATGAGCTCTATCATACCTCGCCTTAAAACTATGTATGGTTCCTGCCTCCACCACATCACTTTCTAGGCTATTCCATGGCCTGACTACTCTATGACTGAAGAAATACTTCCTAACATCCCTTTGATTCATCTGAGTCCTCAACTTCCAATTGTGACCTCTTGTGTCTGTGTCCCATCTCTGGAACATCCCGTCTTTGTCCACCTCGTCTATTCCGCGCAGTATTTTATATGTCGTTATCATGTCTCCCCTGACCCTCCTGGCCTCCAGTGTCGTCAGGCCGATTTCCCTCAACCTTTCTTCATAGGACAATCCCCGTAGCTCTGGGACTAGTCTTGTTCAAACCTTTGCACTTTCTCTAATTTCTTGACGTGCTTGACTAGGTGTGGATTCCAAACTGGTGCTGCATACTCCAGTATGGGCCTGACGTAGATGGTGTACAGAGTCTTAAACGAATCCTTACTGAGGTATCGGAACGCTATCCGTAGGTTTGCCAGGCGCCCGTATGCTGCAGCAGTTATCTGATTGATGTGCGCCTCAGGAGATATGCTCGGTGTTATACTCACCCCCAGATCTTTTTCCTTGAGTGAGGTTTGCAGTCTTTGGCCATCTAAACTATATTGTGTCTGCGGTCTTCTTTGCCCTTCCCCAATCTTCATGACTTTGCATTTGGCAGGGTGTGTGTGTGTGTGTGTGTGTGTGTGTGTGTGTGTGTGTGTGTGTGTGTGTGTGTGTGTGTGTGTGTGTGTGTGTGTGTGTGTGTTTGTGTTAGAATCCCCATTTTCTTCTTGTGGACAACAGTAACGAGATTACAATGTAATTTGTGAGTGATTATTTTCGATAAGTTAAAATGGTTATCAGGCATTCACAATTGGTAAAAATCAGGGTATTATTTCTAGAATGGCTGGTAATATGCTGCTTTGGAGAAATACTCTGATATTTTTCGAACATGTTTAAATGAATTGTTTCTGAATTCAGGATTTTCCTCCACATTACAACACACAGTGACGCAGTGTTCCCGCAAGAAGCTCTTGATTCAAGGAACTAGACTTATCTCCCCCTTCCTTGGATCGAACCTTGATGTTTCCCATTCCCCAGGTGCTGTAAAGCCCCTAAAAGTTTAGCGCTTCCTTCTGATTAAAATAAAAAAAATAAAAGGCGCAAGGTGTGACACTTAGTTCCTCTGGCGAAGATCACAACTGGTTAGCTCTACATCCTAGTAGCGACCAGTGAAGAGGCGGGGCCAGGAGCTATGAATCGACCCTTGTAACCAGAACTAGGTGAGTACATCAGTTAGTGATACAAACTTCCAGAGGTTCCTGTAGTCCAGTTAAAAGCAAGCACAGTTTAGTATCTGTATTATGCAGCCAATACTCATCCAGTGGGTGGTAGAGGCACATAATTTTCAGTGGCATATATCTGGGTGTGCTAAGTGAGCGCCGCACACCCCACCATAGATGGTAAATTCATCATAAATATTAAACTCACCCTTGATGTTGGTGAGGGGCTCTTGATTTAGGGAATTGGATTTGTGCTCCAGTTCCCCGAATTAAGCCTGAATGCCTTCCACATCCCCCCCCCCAGGCGCTGTATAATTCTCTGGGTTTAGCGCTTCCCCCTTGATTATAATAATAATAATAATAATTAAACTCACTCAATAATATAATCATGGATCATAATGGGAAGCTAATTTTTCTGTGCTGTTATGAAATATTGTGGCAGTAGTTCCGAGTTTTAAGTTCAGCAAGGTAGCACAATGACAACCTGTGACAATAACCACCATAATCCACTCAAACATTAATTTTGAAGAAATACTCGTCTGCTGTGCAAAGGTATGGATGAGTCAAAGTAAATTAACACAACAAGGGCATGTCTTGCAGTAACACAATTTCCGGTGCTTCCACTATCAAATTCTTTCCACATGTTTAGTATTTTGGTGGTACATCAGCATCCTAGGATAATATTACTCGTCCCTTCGTTTTGCAAATTTTCCTTCCTGTCTGACACATCGAGCAAGTAAGGATGCGACATACTCAACCAGTGATCTAAGGCGAGCAAAATATAAATTTTCATTATTTTTCACATTTGCTCCACACCTGGGATGAAACCCTATACACATATAAGAGGTCTCAGCCTTTGTATATTGGCCACACAGTCTGGCTACAGCATATGTACAAAATTATAAGCCACTTAGAGTTTTTTGGGTCATCATAAGCAATCTACACCTATGTTGCTATGTATGATAATGTATATAACTGTATTTATGTGTACCTGTACTTCAATAAACTTATTATTATTATTATTATTATTATTATTATTATTATTATTATTATTCATTATTATTATTATTATTATTATTATTATTATTATTATTATTATTATTAATATTATTATTATTACTAATATTATTATTATTATTATTATTATTACCTATTATTATTATTATTATTAGTAGTATTATTATTAGTATTATTATTATATTAAAAGAATGCTTAATCCACGAACGTTGAAGTGAAGTTCAGTCGAGCACTTCCGAGTCTCTCAGTCACATTACACGTGATTTTCATATTTAACATTTATACTTGGTTAAACCTTCATATTTTAAATATACATATCTATATGTATATTGTTTCAGACGCCTTTAAAATTATTATTAATGTTTGTGAGGGTTGCATAATGGTATGCAAGCAAGTGACACGGTACCGTGGAAGTTGTGGCATGTGCTGCTGCTGTTGCCACTGTTATGGGAGGGTATAGGTCATGTTGTGGCTGGAAATAATGATAGTTTCCCTTATTATTTTTTTTTGGAGGGGGGGGGGCTGTGAATATAATAATATGTGTGCTTTGATAATGTTGCTGAATACAATATAGCGGTGACTACCTTCGATTTTTTTTGGCCGTTTTTGCTTTTTTTTACTGAATGTATATAGATAGATTGGATAAATGTGTTTCTTTACGTTAATTTAGTTTGATCTAGCAACGTAGAAGTGTTATTTCCTTGACAGTGATATGAGCGCTGGCGTTGATAGAATGCTGACTCAGTGAAGGGTCTGACTGCCGGTGTTTAGGACTGAGGTCCACTAGACCTATGGACTTGTACGCTGGGCCTGTCTGCTGGACTGTGGACTTACCACTCTACTCTTGCCTTATGCATCAGTGACGAATTTTCTCTATTTTCTCTCATGAACATTTGTCCTCACCATCAACCCTCCGGCAACTGGTCGGGGCTTCATACGTTCAAAGCCATAGAAAACCCTGTTGTTGTTGACTCTGATGTGCGGGTGTCTGGTTCTGCCGGGTTCAAGTAGGCAATCCACCTAAACTAATTAAGAACTTATTATTCCCATTTATCTTTCCGGAGAAAAAGTTGTTTCCTTTATAATTACCGCTCTTATTTGTGCAATATTTTCTTTCCCCGGACTCCCAGGAGTCAAGACCCAGAGACCACAGTGGAAATAAATTACTTTGATTTTGCTTGTTTTGGTTATCCTAAGTAATTTTTACATATATTATTATGTAATATAATTGTAATTATCTAGAAATTGTGCAATTATAAATCAATACACTCGGCTATTTACTTGCCCAGGGCTCCTTAATATGTAAGCATTGATGGCTCTTAACAACCCCCAACAGCAACAATAATTTACTGACCGTGATAATAACACTGTTGGTGCAGCTTCCACGGCCACCGTGACTCTAACTTACTGTACTTGTTTTAAACTGGTGCAAGATAGTACAGTCTGTTCATATTGACGGGGGGAGTCACGCCAGATAATTCCTCCCCAGCTGGAATCTATAACAAAGTTGCTACAGCAGCTTGTTAGAAGCTTATTACAACTTGTGGTGTCACTGCAAAGTGAGCCTTATTGAGGGTATAAATACAGATGTTTGTACACTGTGTTAGTGAGTGTAGCCGTGATCCAGCAGCTGTTCTTCCACACAGCAGTCTGGGTATTTAGCAGCCATGAGCAACACTGGTGCCATACCCAAGGGTGGTGCCAGACCTAAATGTGACAGACAGAGGAACATTAACGTCTGTGAGAAGAGGAAGGTTAGTCGACACTTGATTTACCCTTTATGCTCCTCGATGGAGGTATCTTGATGCTGGCGAGGGGCTCTTGATTCAAGGAACTGGACTTTTCTACGCTTAGCTCGACCATAATTGCCTCTAATTCCCCAAATGGTGTATGGCCATTTATGGTTTAGCACTTCCACGCAAACATAATAAAAAATTACATTTCAAGGTCCCTTGATTCAAGGACCCTGATGGAAATAAGTCACTTTAGCGTTTTAGGCTTATCCTAGGTAATTTATACTATGATAATTATACATGTATACCAGTACTCAATTAAATTTACTTCCACTTCCACGTAAATATGATAAAAATTTGCCCTGGATTTGTGGTTCATTCATGCTGGTCAAGGGTTCTTGATTCAAGGACTTAATGCTGCCCACTCTTCCTTGGATCATGCCTGAGTGCCTCCCATTCTTCAAGTGCTTTGCGCTGTATGACCCTGTGGGTTTAGCATATAGTTTTGATTATAATCATCCTCAAGTGCTGTATGACCCCTATAGGTATAATATTGATGGTAAAAAATGTATTTTAGTATTAACGATACACAACATTGGCAAGTTGATGAATAAAACACGTGCAACACCTGGGTGTCTTCTCTGAAATAAAGATACCCAGGTGTTGCACATGTCTTAGTCAACAATGAACTTTACAAAAAAAAAAAAAACTATATAAAGGAGCTTTGTAAGAGAGCTGTCTGTATATTCAGTATATTTAAGGCACACTGTTGTGAAAACAGACAGAGTCAGAATTCTCATACTGGGGAGGCTTAAGCTGTATAGTCCTTGTGGCTTAGCGCTTCTTTTTGATTATAATAATACTGGGGAAGCTTAGGGATACCTGTCTGGTTGGAAGGGAAGCTATGAGACTTGTTTTGAAGCAGCAGTATTAGCATTATTTATTGTTTTTATTTGGGGGGAGGACAGAGGGAATTTTTGACAACTGAAGCCCCCCCATGCCTCCCTTTGTGCCTGAAATGTCTCGGCATGATAGTGGCTTCTTTGTACCAATCAAAGTATGAAATGTCAACACACATTGTATGCTTTGCAAAGAAATAAACTTTTCATTTTGTTTGGTGCCACCCCTGTACAATAAACTGTGTAATTGTGATCATCTCTTCATTAATTAAATTACTATGGTCAGTAATTACAAAATACAGTATTGTATAAATTATATTTGAAATGCAATATTTTTTAACCAATGTTATGTATGATACTCAATTTTGTAAAATGGTATATTTTAGTTTAGAAAGTTATTGTAAATGCTTTATTTTACTTCAGGACGAGGGTGAAGTGGTTGGAGAGCCTCTCGATAAGAAATTTGTTACATGTGGTGGTGCAGGCATTGTTGATAAAAGAGTACCAGCACTGGTGAGTAATAATGTGTTACCTTTTATTTAATAAAGAGTGAGGTCACAGTTCGGTAACTTTTGTTTGTCATCTAAAAAAAAAGGGGAGGCTAATACTGTACATAGACCTGCATGTATCGGCTGGTGTTTATTATACAGCCAAACCCCAGAATTCACGTTCTTCATACTCTGCATAATTTGATTGTACATTTTTACTGAAAGCCTTTTTACAGATACCTTCAGTTTTTCACATTTTTAATTGGTCTCGATATAGATGAGATTTCTTTGGGTTTTTAACCTGGAGTGTTAGGCATCTGGAGTATACCTGGAGAGGGTTTCAGGGGTCAATGCCCCTGCAGCCCGGTCTGTGACCAGGTCTTGTGGTGGATCAGGACCTGATCAGCCAGGTTGTTACCATTGGCCACACGCAAACCAATGTACGAACCACAGTCCAGCTGGTCAGGTACTGACCTGGGATACCCCAAGAAAGTTGAGTGCATCATTGAGGACTGTCTGTCTTATTTACACGAAGGTTCTTTAATCATGTCTCCCAGGATATTACCCACACCAGTCGACTAACACCTAGGTACCTACGTTTCCACCCATGCTGGGGATCGAACCACAGATGCTCAGTGTATGAGACGAGTGCATTACCAACCAGGCCACAGCACACAACTTGTAAACTGAAAAAAATAACCATAAGATTTTATTCAATATTTGCTCATTGTTTCTTAAGAATATCATTATTAAGCAGATTAGGCAATTTTTTTTTTTTTTTTTTTTCCTCAACAAGTCGGCCGTCTCCCACTGAGGCAGGGTGACCCAAAAAAGAAAGAAAATCCCCAAAAAGAAAATACTTTCATCATCATTCAACACTTTCACCACACTCACACATTATCACTGCTTTTGCAGGGGTGCTCAGAATACAACGGCTTAGAAGCATATACGTATAAAGATACACAACATATCCCTCCAAACTGCCAATATCCCAAACCCCTCCTTTAAAGTGCAGGCATTGTACTTCCCATTTCCAGGACTCAAGTCCGACTATATGAAAATAACTGGTTTCCCTGAATCCCTTCACTAAATATTACCCTGCTCACACTCCAACAGATCGTCAGGTCCCAAGTATCATTCGTCTCCATTCACTCCTATCTAACACGCTCATGCACGCTTGCTGGAAGTCCAAGCCCCTAGCCCACAAAACCTCCTTTACCCCCTCTTTCCAACCCTTTCGAGGACGACCCCTACCCTCCTTCCTTCCCCTATAGATTTATTTTGCTTTCCATGTCATTCTACTTTGATCCATTCTCTCTAAATGACCAAACCACCTCAACAACCCCTCTTCTGCCCTCTGACTAATGCTTTTATTAACTCCACACTCCGAATTTTCTGCATAATATTTACACCACACATTGCCTTTAGACAGGACATCTCCACTGCCTCCAACCATCTCCTCGCTGCTGCATTTACCACCCAAGCTTCACATCCATATAAGAGTGTTGGTACTGCTATACTTTCATACATTCCCTTCTTTGCCTCCATAGATAACGTTTTTTGACTCCACATATACCTCAATGCACCACTCACCTTTTTTCCCTCATCAATTCTATGATTAACCTCATCCTTCATAAATCCATCCGCCGACACGTCAACTCCCAAGTACAGTGGACCCTCGAACAGCGATGGCATCGATTAACGATAAATCTGACTAGCGATACATTTTATCGCAAAAATTTTGCCTCGATTAGCGCTAAAAAACTCGACCAACACTATTCGTTCTGTCTGAGACGCGTCCACTTCTGGCCAGTGTTTACAAGCCAGCCAGCCACCGCGGTCCGTTTCCCAAAAGCATACAATCGGAACATTTCATATTATCACAGCCTTTTTAGTGATTGCACCTGCAAAATAAGTCACCATGGGCCCCTAGAAAGCTTCTAGTGCCAACCCTACAGCAAAAAGGGTGAGAATTACTATGGATATGAAGAAAGAGATCATTGCTAAGTATGAAAGTGGAGTGCATGTCTCCGAGCTGGCCAGGCTGTACACAAAAACCCCAATCAACCATCGCTACTATTGTGGCCAAGAAAACGGCAATCAAGGAAGCTGTTCTTGCCAAAGGTGCAACTATGTTTTCGAAACTGAGATCGCAAGTGATAGAAGATGTTGAGAGACTGTTATTGGTATGGATAAACGAAAAACAGATAGGAGATAGCATCTCTCAAGCGATCATATGTGAAAAGGCTAGGAAGTTGCATGACGATTTAATTAGAAAAATGCCAGCAACTAGTGGTGATGTGAGTGAATTTAAGGTCAGCAAAGGTTGGTTTGAGAGATTTAAGAATCGTAGTGGCATACATAGTGTGATAAGGCATGGTGAGGCTGCCAGTTTGGACCAAAAAGCAGCTGAAAAATATGTGCAGAAATTCAAGGAGTACATAGACAGTGAAGGACTGAAACCTGAACAAGTGTTTAATGGTGACACTGACAATGTTGTGAAACACTTTAGGAATCTCATAATGGAACGGGAGGTACAGGCCTCTATGGGCAGATATGTTGTGCGACAGAGGTTTCCCGTGACTCTCAAGCTGGTCCTAGTGGCATTAAAAGAAGAAGGGAAGTAACCCCGAAAAAGGACTTGCCACCTCAAGTCCTAATGGAAGGGGATTCCCCTTCTAAACACTAAGACCATCAACACACTCCCCTCTTTCCATCCCATCAATCATCACCAGATCTTCAATAAAGGTAAGTGTCATGTAACTGTGCATGTCTTCTTCATTTTGTGTGTATTAAAATTAATATTTCATGTGTTAAAATTTTTTTTTTCAATACTTTTGGGTGTCTTGCATGGATTAATTTGATTTCCATTATTTCTTATGGGGAAAATTAACTTGACTAACGATTATTCTGACTAACGATGAGCTCTCAGGAACGGATTAATAGCGTTAGTCGAGGGTCCACTGTATTGGAAAACATTCACTTCTTCCATACTCCTCCTCCCCAATTTGATATCCAATTTTTCTTTATCTAAATCATTTGATACCCTCATCACCTGACTCTTTTCTATGTTCACTTTCAACTTTCTACCTTTACACACATTCTCAAACTCATCCACTAACCTTTGCAATTTTTCTTTAGAATCTCCCATAAGCACAGTATCATCAGCAAAAAGTGACTGTGTCAATTCCCATTTTGAATTTGATTCCCCATAATTTAATCCCACCCCTCTCCCAAACACCCTAGTATTTACTTCTTTTACAACCCCATCTATAAATATATTAAACAACCATGGTGACATTACACATCCCAGTCTAAGACCTACTTTTACCGGGAAGTATTCTCCCTCTCTTCTACACACCCTAACCTGAGCCTCACTGTCCTCATAAAAGCTCTTTACAGCATTTAGTAACTTACCACCTATTCCATATACTTGCAACATCTGCCACATTGCTCCTCTATCCACTCTGTCATATGCCTTTTCTAAAACCATAAATGCAATAAAAACTTCCCTACCTTTATCTAAATACTGTTCACATATATGCTTCAAGGTAAACATTTGATCTACACATCCCCTACCTACTCTGAAGCCTCCCTGATCATCCGCAATCCTACATTCTGTCTTACCTCTAATTCTTTCAATTATAACCCTACCGTATACTTTTTCTGGTATACTCAAATTCAAATTCAAAGTTTATTCTCTATAAAGATTACAATGTTGAATTTACAGAATTTTGGTTGTTGTGTGGTTTACATGTAGTTAAATAATGATTACAGAGTGTACCACTAGAACGCCTAGCATGGCTAGGCATTTCGGGCAGACTTAGTGTAATTCTTTATTTTGAAATATTACAAATTATGAGGTAAGTTGGTATTATGGCTAAGTGACTAAATACTAGTTTGTGAGTTTAGCAATGTGAATGCTTTTGTTTTGGCACAGTACATAGTTTCAGTATTGGAGTATCATAGGATTCATTATTTTAAGATTGAGATTAATATTTCTGTTTATGGTCAAATGGGGTGAGTGTAAGTGTGAACCACCAGGTGGTATTCGTGTAGTTTAGTTGATGGGGTTTATCAGGGAGATAAGATGTTTTCTAATGGTAGTTTTGAAGGTAATGAATGTGTCTGCAGTTCTAGAGTTCTCAGGTAGGGTGTTCCAGATTTTAGGGCCTTTGACATACATTGAATTTTTTGTAAAGGTTTAGTCGGACATGGGGAATGTCGTAGAGATGTTTGTGTCTGGTGTTATGCCTGTGGGTTCTGTCACAACTATCAAGAAAGCATTTTAGGTCAAGGTTGATATTGGAGTTTAAGGTCCTGTAGATGTAGATTGCAGAGTAGTAAGTGTGGATGTACTGAACAGGGAGTAAGTTTAGATCTATGAAGAGTGGGGGGGTGTGTTGCCAGTGATGGGATTTAGTGATTATTCTTACTGCAGCTTTTTGTTGGGTTATTATTGGCTTTAGGTGTGTTGCTGCAGTTGATCCCCAAGCACAAATAGCATAGGTGAGGTATGGATAAATAAGTGAGTGGTATAGTGTGAGAAGGGCATTTTGCGGCACGTAGTATCATATCTTGGAGAGGATCCCAACTGTTTTGGATACTTTTTTGGTTATATGTTGGATATGGGTGCTGAAATTCAGGTTGTTGTCAAGGTATAGGCCTAGGAATTTGCCCTCATTATGTCTGGTAATTAGAGTGTTGTCGATCTTAATGTTAATTTGTGCATCTCCTGCTCTGCTACCAAACATAATATAGTAGGTTTTGTCAGTGTTAAGCGTAAGTTTATTGGCTGTCATCCAAGTCGATATTTTGATCAGCTCCTCGTTAACAGTGGTGTTGAGGGTGGCAAGATTAGGGTGAGAGATGACATAAGTCGTGTCGTCAGCAAAGAGAATGGGTTTCAGGTGTTGGGATACGTTTTGAAGTAAACTTATTCCTCTATAATTTTTACAATCTATTTTGTCCCCTTTTCCTTTATATAAAGGGACTATACATGCTCTTTGCCAATCCCTAGGTACC